TGGGCGAGGAAGAGACTTAACCCCAGTGCCTTTGGGTTGTTTAAGAGATAGGGTTTAAGTGAATAGGTGTTTTAGTTGCATGAGTCTTGGAGAGAATCTGGATTATTGTTTGAAACAGGGTTTGCTGAAGTGTTGTACTTGGGTATCTAAGTTAGAGCGACTGCTAGCTAAGAGATGTCACTACATTATGTCAGTCCACGGATTTAAGAACCGTAATTATTATATCTGAGATTCTTATACCTTTCGCTCTCAGTTACTAGGTAGTATAATTGAGTGTCGCAGTTATCTTCCACGTATCAGGTGACTCTTATGAACCGTCCATTAGGAGCGTTCTAACGACCTCTAAATTAACGCCCATGCAAACACGCGCCTTGTCTGGTTGCCTGAACGGTGCCCAGACGTCAGTCAGTCTCAAGGAGCAAAGGGATGTAACAAATTTGCAATCCATCCAATCAAACACTGATGAGAACCGCGCTTTTTAGGTTCAATGTAACCCGAGCTGTCCTCTTAGTGGTCGTTTTGCATTTTAACAGAAGCGAGACGAATCAGGCAATGGCCGACTACGCGCCAGGCAATCCTCTTCAAGCCAGACTGGGCGAACCGACTGCATGGATACAACATGGCACGATCCTGAATCTATTAATGTCTCCTGGGATAATTCAGCCCTGCAGGGATTCCCATCCCATGTTTCGGTTCAGTCGGATATCCCCAAGTTTCTCGGCTTTGAACTCTGATCAACAATTGTTTTCTTTGAACACATTGCATCACGGCACATTAGGCATCATGTCGCGCGATTACTCTGATCTCCAAGTGGTTCCCGACAGGTCTTATCCAGAGGTGGTACCGCAGTTCGGAAAGGAGCCGACAGACAAGGTCCCAGTCGAACCGCCTCAGCAGGCCACGCCTCCAAAGAGGATCTGTGGTCTATCCCCAAAGCGATTCTGGATTATAGTTGTCGTGGTCATACTCATCACGGGTGCCGTGATAGGAGGTGCTGTAGGGGGAACACAAACCAACAAGTCCAAGTCCAACGACGATACCCCAAACAGTCCAGCTTCCACCAACGCCGAGCAAGCCACGACTGAGCAAGCCACGACCGAGCCTACCAAGACATCAACATCTACAACAGCCAGCCTCTCCACAAGAACACTGATCGGCCCAAGCCAAACCCTCTACCGCGACTGTCCCTCCTCCAACGACACAATCTACTCAGCCCTCGGCTCATCCAACTACCTATTCCGCAAACGCTGCAACGTCGGTTTCGCAGGGTCCCCCGACAACGTCGTCAACATACCCGCCACGAGCCTCGACGATTGTATCGACAAGTGTGCCACGTACAACGAGAACAATAAGACCGAGATTGCCTCGAGAGAAAGCAACGTTTGTAATTCTGTCTGCTGGAGGCATAGGGTTACGGGGGATGATTGGCCTGGTCAATGCTTTGGATCTACGATACAGAACTCTACTAGTAGTGGGTTTCCTGTTGATGAGGATCAGATTGAGTGTGATTCGGGGGCTTGGATAAATCAGGAAATTCCGGGTAGGGGTGGGTAGAAGCGTCAATCGTCGTCATCCGGCTACATGCTCAGACGATAGGTTCCCATTCAGGTTGACTGCCGGTCTAGTCAGATTCCCTTGGGGAGCCTGGAGCGTGGTCTTTCGCATTGGATGAGCCTCACCATTAGGAGGTTATAATTTATCAAGGAGATTAACCCAAACATATATCTCTTAACAGTGAGAATATCCTTATTATTGGTGACCTAGACCCTTCCTACGCTCATGTGGGATCTTAATAAATCCGAATATAGCTAAACCATGATTTATTCTATCTTCCGGCGTTTCCCAATTGTTACCCATTATAACATTTCCTCTAATTGAAGGTACTACTACCTTGTGCGTTATTAGGCTCCCATTAGCTCTCTCTGAGCCAAAGAAGTATTTGAGTGCTTTAACCTCCGTATGAGAAGTGAATAGTCATTAATATGTGGTGGTATTAAAACCTAATACCTTAAAACACTGTAACCTAAGTATTTTGACTTCCATCTCAATAGCCACAAAGAATCATATGGAACGGTGCGTCTTCTATACAAGACGACACCTTTCTTTATCCGCTGAGGGATTAGCAGTTGTACACTTGAAAGGAGCAACTGTCAAAACATAATCACATTCCAGCTTCCCCTCTCGTCGTAGGTAGTAAATATGGACAGGAAAAATAAATATGCTATGCACATGGTCTCTTTGTGCAGCATTAAAACAAGTCCCCTATATAAGCTGAATGACCTTCCTCACGGGCTTACATCTATCCCAAATGCCTTGGTCAAATACGATATGCCCAACCCTCTGATACTGAATAAATCCATCCTCACCCATTCTCTCTCGACGCAAGATAAGGGCTTTTGCATCCCGGTATCGTGAACCTGCCCTTAGCCGGAGACAGATATGGTCGCCATGAACTTCCCCCTCCAAAGGAACTCGATCCCAGTGTACCCCCTTCGCATGTGGGTCTTCGCTCTTTTCATTGTGCCATTGATTGTCCCAGGTGGGATGTTTCTCGTAGCCTAATTCTACCAAGTTCAGCATGCCGACCTCACCGGCGACGGTGATGACACCCGAAGTTGCCACACCATCAACGCCGTGGCGGTAATCCCGGGTGCTGATACTAAGGACCCGAAGGTCGATGATTTCATCATCTTTGCGTGGCCTGAGGAGATTTCCCCAAGAGATCGGTTGGCATATCAACCACCCCGTTAACGTTGTCGACTTTATCCAGGACCACGAAGGTACAGTGGGGGCTTGGCTGTTGGGAAGACCCCGTCCGTGGTTAGTATACCAGTCCAGCCCTTCAACAATGTAATTCTCCCACAGGCCAGCGTAGAACTCCAGCCCGTTATGACTTTGAATACGCTGTACCACGCCAGACAGAGCTGGAAGCCTGTCGGACAGCCTTGTGAATCCTTTCTGCACATAATAACCACAAAAACTACCCCATCCACGCTGTGAACACTTTGGCGTCGTGCTATAATTTAACAAAGCGCGCCGTAATTCGCCAATCGCATCATCGAAGGTTTCTATGTCTTGGCCTGGGGAGCGTTCCGAAGCGAGTAGCTCGGTGCATTCCCAGACGACGTAGCGCCCGGTGAAGTGAACAATCCGAGGAGATAGTATTCTCTCCTGAACTGCCCATCCACGCTTCGACAGTGGCCCACAGGAAACAAGCCAGGGTGAGCTACTTATCCACGGGAGCCAGGTACAGTATAGCCGTTCTTTAGAATTCCGATGCAACCGTGTGCAGAAGTACGTAGGGTACATTCGATCAAGACTTGGAAGAAAGAGTCCTTCGCTGGAATCGCAGGACTCAGACGCAGCCAATGTGCAGAGGGCGTTTTGGTAGTAAGTACCGAACCGAGAGGCTTCAAGTTGCCAGTCACTAGGGTCGTCTTGGATGATACACAGCGCATCAACCCATAGGTACTGAACCTGAAGCCGCCTGGTAAACACAATGGCGTCTTGTATTGTCTTTGGCAAGGCCGGGAAGGGGATGTGCTTTCGCAGATCATCCATGGTCGCTTTCGTCGTCTCGAACTTGAGAACTTCCGTCCCCCAGCAATAGCTGAGACATGTGTATTCTTTCCTTTCGCCATCCCCCACGACGTGGAGACGAAGATGAGGTTGTTCAAGGGTCCCAACATCCAAGACACGAGTTGGTAACGGGGGAAGACCCAGGTGTCGGTCCTGTACTGAGCCACACTGCTTGTGGAGAGTGCAGCACCTCTCTAACCAGTGATGCTTCACCAGTTCAGCAATCTCTTGCTGCCCTGTCTCGGTGGTAAGGTCGCATATCTTTGGTGGTACGTTTGCCCCGTTGCGTTGAGTACAAAGCATTTCCCATTGGGTAGTATGCTTTACCTGACGAAACCTTGAGCCACAGACCCAGGGAGTTTCAAGCCCAACTTCGTACCGTATGAGAGATGCATCGCGCAAAATGTCACTCCCGAGGAACTCTTCAACCGGGGCCCGAGTGATGTAAGTTAGTACCCAGCCTAAACACTTTCCACTAGCCGATATAACGTCGACGCAATTCCGGTCATCCAGGTCATCCAGGTCATCCAGATCGTTCAGATCATTCGGATCATTCGGATCGTCCGGTGTCGAGGAAACGCTGAGCGCGAGCGGGGAGTTGTCAACCCTCAAGCGGCTCCATGGGGTGTCTCTGTTAGTGGCAATACTACCCACGATAATGCCACACAGAGGGCAACCATTCTGGGCCGATATTTCCAGGTCAGAAAAGCATCCTATTTGATGTTCAAATTCCAGCTTTGGCGTGCAGAGGTATTTGTCGACAAAGGAATGACAGGGAGAGCAGAGGCTATCGATCGATCGATCCATGACTAGATTTGTTGGCCAAGTTTATACCTCCGATGGTGAACTCGGGAACGTCTTGACAGGGGAGTGGTGACAAAATGATTTGTGCATGGAGAAAGAATAACTCGCGCAAGACTAGATTGTGTCTTAGGATAGACGCACCAACTTTTTACAGGGACAGAAGGTTGGTTTGGGGCGTCTCTTGCAAGCTCAACTTCTGGGAAGAGTTGCAAGCAGAAATGCAGCCCAGAATTCTGTGGTGATGCCCAATTATAATCACGTGCATAACACAGCCTCGTCTTCTTCATGGCATGCGAATGTCTGACATAACCAGGGACATGGCATAGGATATAAGGAAGAGAATAGTCTAGGAGCCGAGGCCTATATGTCAGTCTCGAAAAGTACGTAGCTTCGGCCCCTCGGTCATTGGTTAGATGTCATACACATCTGAACAAATCGGGTAGGTAAACCAAGTCAGTTGGGAGAAGCAGTGCTGGGTTAGGGGACGCCACGTGACCTCGTACTGTCTGAAACCGATCAATATGATAAAAAAAACGAAATCAACACCAAAACACCGGAGAATGAGTATAGTGCATCACAAGATCAAAAGAATTTGTTTTAAAAGACAAAAAAAACACCGACAACGGCAGGATTCGAACCTACGCGTGCGAACACAATGCCTAGATATGCAGGATAGCAGGGCATCGCCTTAACCACTCGGCCACGTTGTCCTGTGATTGGTTGAAGAGAGGACTTGAATTTAGTGCTTATGTTTGAGGGAACTCTGCTACCGCGGCTTGGCCAGTCACCTAGTGTACCCAGCTGTTAATGCTCGTCGATAATGAGTACAGCTTTCACAACGCAGATGTGAGCGATAGAGATAGGAATAACACCCTTTATTTATTCTATATTTATTCTAATTTTACTATTCTCTTCCTTTTACTTCCGGTATTTAGGGCTATATAGCATATGGTCCCGGATGGCAATTACTCTCACTCCATAGAAATCCTTCTTTGTCCTCCCGCTTTTTAGAAATAACGAGATCCCCAACAGTTGTTCGTCTCCGGTTGAGCCTCACTAATCATATTATCTCATCTTATTATCGCCAGCCCTCTAGTTCGCATCTTATGCCCGAAAGGATTCCGCTTTGTAAACAAAATCTCCGCAACTCCGCTCAACTGAGCAACTCAGTGGAACCCTCGCTTACCAACCAATCCTTCAACTGCGGCTGGGAGCTTACACGGCGGGAATCCTGCGGCTTTCGTTGTAAGAGCTGATCTTTAACGTTATCGATTTCCCGCTCGTTTTCCGCAGACAACTCCTCAACGTTATTCTCGATTTTGTAGGATGAAACGATGATGGGATCTGATAGGTTTAAATACGATGAAGGATTCGTGCTCGAGAAAAACTGTAGGAATATATAAGTATCAAGTCAATCTCGCAGTTGAACCATCACAGCCACATGTCGAAGCAAGACCCAGTAGCAGAACATGAAGCTTTCGACAAATCTACTTTTCGCCCAGGCTCTCTGGGGCCTATCTTCCCAAGCCCAACAGATCCCTCCAGCCGTCCCCTTCTCAACAGACTTCAACTCTTCCTTCGCTTTGACTCCTGACCAGATCAAGGCTGCTGGACTTTCCGATACAGTGGCATCCAGCGTCAATGCCATCATCAACTTTGATCGATCAAACCTTGCAAATGGCGGACCCAGACAAGATGACTTTTACACTCTTCCCCCAAAGAAAGCCAATCTGCGACCTGGTCAGGTGCTCAAGGTTCAGGAAGTGACGGACCCGACACCTTTCAACATCGCGTCCGGATCTTCTCTTAGCAGAATTCTGTACACGACTCGGGACATCAACGGCACTGTCATTCCTGCGAGTGCTTACATTCTGTGGCCCTTTATCCCCCGCCAATTCGACGGTGAGCCCAAAGACAAGGCCCCTGCCGTGCTCTGGGCCCACGGTACATCCGGTTACTTTGCTGATGCAGGACCATCCTCATTCCGTACCCTGCAGTACGACGACAAGATGCCCAACCATCTCGTGCAAGCTGGATACGCTGTTGTTGCACCGGACTATGCGGGCCTCGGACTTGAAAAGTCTTGGGACGGAAGCACAATTCCTCACCAGTACTTTGCCATGCCCGCAGCCGGTCAAGACACTCTGTATGCCATGGAGGCCGCGCTTGAGGCATTTGGCAAGCGACTTAGTGGCAAGTTCGCTGTCGCTGGACACAGCCAGGGCGGCGGTGTAGCATGGAGTGTGGCCGAGCTTCTTGCTTCTGGCAAGAAAAGTACCTTCAAGGACCTCATCAAAGGATATGTCGGAACCATCTCGTTTGCCCCCATCACTGAAATGCTGCCAAATGCAAACTTTGCCAGCATTGCCGCCATGCGCGTCTCAAGCATCTTTCCCGATTTTACTCTTGATCAATGGTTACAGCCACTGGCAATCGCCAGGATCAAGCTGTTGACTGAAATCCAGGGAGGAGCTTCCGTTTTTCAACAACTCTTCCTTACAGAATCGGGAGATGCTCTTGCCAAGCCAGACTGGTATAACTCGTCGTACCATGCTCAAGCATTTGAGAAGATTGGAAATGTTGGAAAGAAGCCGTTTGCAGGACCCATGTTGGTGGTGCAGGGACCCGAGGATGTTTTCGCTGTGGAGGCAGTCACCGATAAGACCGTGACGGAAACGTGTAAACTTTATCCAGACGATGCTCTTGAGTACATGGTTGTGGGCGAGCTTGGTCACACACCGATCATCACAGCGGCTAGGCTGCTATGGATGGACTGGTTGGAAGAGAGGTTCACGGGCAAGAAGGCCGCTGGGTGTAAGAGGACTTTAGTTCAAGGATGGCTTGGCAGTGGGAAGCATTTTACGGGAAGTAATTCTTACTCTCAGTGGGCTGGGGCGCCAGAGTATCGGTACCAGAACGCTGGTTCTGTGTGATCTGAATATTTGGTTGCGGCTGGCTGTTCACCGACTCGAGCAATCCGATGGGGACTTTAAACTTGCTGCGGATGCGTCGCTCGTCTAAAGTTAAGAGGCATCCCTAGAGGTGGCTTTCGGTCTAAGCTTAGCAAAAGTGCAACATATAGCTATTAGGACAAATCTAGATCGAGTTACAAAGAAAACAAACGCGTACTTGTGCAACCTACAGCAATGCCATAGTCGACAAGAAGAAAGAAACAACCCTTCTACGGGCTGTAAAGGAACACCCGGCTCCACACATCACACCCCCCTAGTGCCCGGCATGCGACAGCAAAGTCCACACTCCACAAACAGTGAACTACCAGGACTAACGAGGTCCTCCATAACCTAGAGCAGCTTCCATGTCTGGGTCACTATATCTACGGTACGCACTAAAGTCAAGATCCAGCCTGTGCCAGTCCCACTCGTTCGAAAGGTAGATAAAGAGAACGGCAAAGATGGGCAGGAGCAAAACGTCCAATACACCAAAGATGATGGAGCCCACTGTTCTGCTGACCACATGGCCACCGTCGCTGATGCCAAAGGCGATAGGGTAGAGGAACCAAAGGAAGTTGATGTATCTAGACAGCAACTTGTAGTCTCGTCCAATACCTCGACGCTCTGCCTCTTCGGCGCTCTCGTTGAGGGTGCTCATGGCAAGAATGATGTAGGACAGGGTGCCAAAGGCAAAGAAACCCCACTTGTAGGAGGTCAAGGTCAAGGCGGCGGTAAGGTATGGGAGAATCCAGAGCCAGCTGATGGCCATGTTGCAGGCGATGGTAGTCCAGGAGACGCCACTGGCTAAGCCAAGAGCGAGGGCGAGAGAAGGAAAGGTGACGAGCCAATTGGCGTATCTGGCAAAGAAGAGGGTGGTGGTCGCAGCTTGGCCGTAGTAGCTGACGGAACCGACGAGAACGGCGACGGTGAAGAGGTAATTAAAGACTCGCTTGTTCGATGGGATGAAGAAGCAGAGGGCCAAGATAGTCAACTATGAAAACTGTTAGTGGAGGGTGTTGGAACGAATCTTGTCGAGAACGTACAAAGGTGACAATGTGGATGCCAGTGACAGCCCAGAGCCAGTTAATCCCATGCTTAAACAGGGCTCTGTTTTCTTCCCTGTTGGGGTTGATGGCGAAAACTTCGTTGAGAATAGGTAGGATATCCATGTTGTCGTTGGTGAAGCGTTTTCAGCTAGTGGAGGGATGGTGATGTGGGAATGATCGTTGAGGTACACCATTTCAAAGGGACAAGAGGCCTCTTATAGGCATGCAGGCAAGCCGTTGAGGTCATGTTCTGCCGAAAAGTTGAAAACTTTACGGAAAATAGTTTTTTGGTGAGGTATCATGTTGTCACTCGATATCGGAAAAAGGTTTTGGGTGCAAGGGTCTTGACGCGGAAATAAGTTTTGATCCTTGCAGGGATCATCAGAGAAGACCCCATCCTCTGTTCCTATTGGGTATAACCGTTCGTAGGCACGATGACATAGACGCGAATACAGCCGTTGATGCCTTGCAGGGAGAATTGAGGCAGATATTGTCATCGTGCATGCGGTTCTCCTTTAGAGAGTAAGATCAAGAAGAAACAACATGATGGTGAGCCACAGTAGGCGCCATGCAATCTCAAAAGTGAGATGAATCAATGCCATCATTACCCATCCTAGAGAAGAATGGCATTTTATTACTGCTTTTGTGTTCCCTTTTCTCCGGATGGGAGCCTATTGTCTTCCCGTGTCATCGATGCCTTGATCATTCGGGCCGTGAATGATGATAAATCTTTGTATGAGAAAGTTGCGTAGAGACGAAAAGTTAGATGCAAGGAACACGTTGCACATCACGGACTGGTTCGGTGGCGACACTCATGTGACGGCACTCCATAGTCAGCCTTGAAGCAATCGTATTCTGAGCCAGTGAATAGAGGAGAGATATCCACGGAAACCCAGCTATTTTAGTGATGAACATCACCTGACCCAATCGAGTTGCACGATTGGTCTTGGCTTGCATTGAACTGAGACACGGCACAGTAGCACGCCACTGTCGCTGGTCTGCCAAGGTATTGTCATCGAAGATGGTGGTGAATGACGATATGGACTCAACGAAAGACCTATCACTGGATCAAGCTGCTTCTTTTCAGCTTGTCTCTGTGCGTTATAAAGAGCTGGAATAAAACTAGTGATTGTGGTCGATCCAGCAGCATTCACTGTAGCCACCAGTGACTATTTAACCCACCACAGTCCTCGATCATCCCCTGCTTCCGTATGTTATCCATGAAACCCATTGAACCCGGATATTGCCATGTCGCTTGGGAACTTTTCTTCATTGGCCCTGGATGTGGGTGGCGTACTATTGTTCTACTCAGCCAGCAACATCAAGACCCTCACACCCCGCCAACTCGGCAACGCATTAGACTCTCCCATCGGGCACGACTATGAACGAGGCAAAGTCTCTAAAAAGATTTGTTACGATAGAATATGTCGACAGTTTGGATTTGATCCAAATACTTGGACCGAGGCGCTGGATACAATGAGAGAGTCGCTTCGCCCAACCGTTGAACTCATTGACGAGATCAAACGGTTAAAGTTGGCTAACCCTCAGCTAAAGGTCTTTGGACTCTCAAACATCTCAGCAGAATATTTTCAGCAGCTTAAGCCCTTGGTTGACACTTGGGGAATCTTTGACGAGTTTTACGCGTCTTGCTTGACAAGTCAGCGCAAGCCCGACGTAGCCTGCTACGAGAGGTTTCTGGAGGACGGCAAAATA